TCCAAGCTACACCTCCAATAACCCTCTGTTCACCTAAGTCACATTAGATGTTCATAGTAAACCTGAAATGTATTCAAAGCAGCAAAGGGTAGTCACATACTTACCTCCTTCAGTCAGTTTTTAGTATGCCCCTGAGCTCCACTAAGTTTCTTAGCCTTGGCTGATGCTTATTGGAAAAATAGGAGTGGCACTCTCCCAAATGCCTCCCACTTGTGGCATCAAAGTGAGATATCACTCACAGTAAATTTTACAGTATGAGGAATGAAAGAGTTAGCAAAGTTGACATTTAAACCATCATCACTGCCCATGATTAAATACCTCAGAGATGAACAGAGTGGTTCACACCTCTCCAAGTTATTGTTCTAGGCTCTTATCAGGCTCCCATACACCGCTGCATCTTCACACTTGAGATTGTCTTTGAATCTGTAATAGCTGGAAACCTGTTTAAACAGAGATTGGGGCGAGTTTCTGATGATGTTAACCTGGCAGAAGGAGACTGACTGAAACCCGCAGTGGATATCAATATCAGCACATGCTGGAATTTGTGCCCACGGAGAAATGGCAAATTCAACATCCATCTCACACACACACAGCAGTGCATCACACTGCTCACCACCCTGTGCTCAGCAGAACAGGAGCTTCCAGCCACACACTACAAGCTGTTCGAGTTTCAGAGAATCACAGAATAGTTAGGGTTGGAAAGGACCTTAAGACCATCAAGTTCCAACCCCCCTGCCATGGGCAGGGACACCTCACACTAAACCATGCCATCCAAGGCTCATTATACCTCAAGGCACATTATACCACTGCCCTTCTTTAACCCAAGTCCTCCAGTTGCCACTATTTCCCTGCACACATGCAAGCCAGATAACCATAGATCACCTAGATGGGATTCTCCCAACTCCACAAAGGGAAATGGGAATCCTGGGGCCATTTTCCTGGAGAAACAGGGAATTCCTGAAAGAATTTAGAGCTGTCCAACCCAAGGAAACACTGTTCCCTTCTGAAATCCCAACTGCCAAGTCAGCATCCCATGATTCCAGAGTATCTGCTGCTGTTAGTGTTTAGCACAGGAAAAACCAAGCATGGTTTGCTACTGCTAACAGGGTTCATGAGTGCCATCCCCTACTATCCAAACAGGTAACTCACTCCTCCAGTCAGGAGCAAGATGAGGCTTCTCAGAACAGTTAACCCACAGCTTGGGAACACCGCAGCCAATATAACAAGAAGATTTAAATCTGAAACTTCAAAGCTGCAAGAGACACTCAACAGGTACAGTAATGGTATAGAGCAAGTTTTTCTTTTGGAATGAGCAAAAACTTAAACACTTGTAATATTTCAAGCAGGAATACTGGAGGAAAAAACAAGGATAAAGCACAACAGCTGATATAGCACTAAATATATATACAGGTTATATAGACTTTTCTTTTTTTTTGTGAAAATAAGAACTGTGAAGCTGAAGTTCTTGAAACCAGACAAATCTATACAATCAACCATCTTCCATATAGTTTTTGTCCCACTTTACAACCCTGAAGCAGGACAGTGCCAATTTGTTTCAGAAATAGCCCTACAATGGAAGTACAGCCCAGCACCCCCTTATGATGTTCTACAGGGATTAACACTACTGGAGCCTCCATCATACAGTGTATGGGAATTAAACACAGATTCTGATAATTCCAGTGCTGTTCAGTTACTGATTATCATCAATTCTGGCTCTACCAGAGAAGCTGTGGCTGCCCCATCCCTGGCAGTGTTCAAGGCCAGGCTGGACACAGGGGCTTGGAGCAAGCTGCTCAAGTGGAAGGTGTCCCTGCCCATAACAGTGGGTTCTAACTGGATGAGCTTTGAGGTGTCTTCCAACACAAACCAGGCTGGGATTTTATGGTTCTATGATCTTCAGCGATTTATTAATTGACAGTGCCAACCTGAATGACAAACAAGTCAATTCGCAATTTAAATGCTATAACAGAAATAGGGGATTTCAAGGTACTGTTTTAAGTTAAGCGATTGGTGGCAACACACTTTGATTGTGAAACAAACTATTTCAGTCAGTATTCAGTAAATCAAAACTTTCACAACCGTATCTAGCTGAAATTCCTCATTTATGGATATTAATTCTTAGGTATATACAAACATCAATTGAAAAGGCTTGACTAAAAACCCCTCCACTCCAAACAGAAACCGTTACACTGCGACGTGCCTGGACTTTTAAGCTCACAAGGAGCAGAATAACCTTAGGTTATTACAATTAGTTTCATCTCATTAATAGATCAATTTCTTCCAAGCATACTGAAACCTGAATTTTACTTTGTTGCCTCTCCTTTTAGTCTCCATTATAGTCTGTGTTCTTAAGTTTTAAGGAGAGCCATCACCGAATAGGTTGTAATCTCAGGTGATTAATTGCACAGCATTTTACAAGCTGTAAAATAGAGCAAGATCTCCACAAAGAGATTATGCCATTAGCAGCCCCTCTCATCCGATTTCCCTACAACCAGCAGGATTCTGACAGACTGCAAGTCTTCAGTATTTATACATTTCAAAGGTTTACTTATTTTTGTTGTTAAAAACCCTAAGATGTATATTGATTATTACATGCAATTCTACATGAGAAGTCCCAAGCACCGTGGAGCAGAATACCAATATTTATTACTGGACTTGTGCTCATTATGGTTCTCTCTGACAGGGGTCCATTAAAATCAATTTTTATGTTTCTTATGGGTTTTTTTTCCCTACCCAATGTTCTTACCACAGCATTTATTAGCCCGTCAGAAGAAACACTGGGCACTGTTTTGGTTTTATTTTAGTCTGTCGAAAATAATGAGGACAGATTTAACAACCATTCACTGGCGATGAGTGGAAGAGATTAAATGTTATATTTCAGCACAAACATTTACAGAGGGCTTTAAAAATTTTAGATCTTTATCACTGGGAACGACAACACAAGTCCCACCTTCCACCTCTGTTCCAGATGTAAATTCTTAACAGTAAGAGTAGTCTGCTTACCATGAACTTGAACAACTCTTCAGTGACAGTCTATCTAATGTAACAATTTGGGCATATAAATCATGCAACCTGCTAAATTAAGTTGCATTAAGATGCCGCTAAAGCCTCAAAACTTCCTGGCTACCCAGAAGAAGTCTCCACTGAGATGGATAGAGATCATATAAAAGAAGAATTAGGAAAAGGATCTCAACTGTTCAACTGCCTGAGGAACAAGATCACAAGACCCTTCTTCAACCAGCCAATGGGCCATGCTGCAGGTGAGCAAGTGGCAGAAACTGTGGTAAATGAAGGGAGCAGAAGCCTTCCTTAAATAGGGATGGACTTTGCCTTGCACCAAGGCTCCCTCAAGGAGAACATCCCACAGTCTGAGTACCAGCATCTCTCATCTACATGGACAGAGGTGAGTAACGATGTACTTGGTGCTTCTGGGGGACATGTGTAATTCCCTGGAAAAAGGGGATTTGTGCCTGAAAGATCAATTTCCATCCCAGTAAACTTTGCCCCAAAAGAAAAGGCAACCCATGAAGTGAAACACCCAAAACCTCAACACTAAACACAAGTCAAACGCAGACCTCTGCTCTCACCTCTGCAGGAGTGCTACACAAACACAGTATGACAATAACCCCCCATCCACCTTCTCAACCTCTACTAATTAAAAGCCTGTAATGATTTTCTTTCAATATTATTCCATTTCACTTTGAGCCTTTAATTTTAGTGCCCACAACTTCATGTTTTTTGTCTTTCACTTTTGTTTTCATACAGTTCCCTTTACATCTGGCATTATAAAGAACACACAATCTGTATCTGTCACTTCAAGAGCCCACAAACCTTTTCCCTACTGTTCTTTCACATGCTCACTGATGTTTCCTCTTCTCAAAGGTGAAGAGCCCTCATCTGATTAGGCTTTTCCAGGCAGATACTGCAAAGGCAAACATCAGCCTTACCCTAAATGTGTCTTTATTTCCATTCCTCATCAGCAGAAATCCAACACTCAAATCAGCCTATGAAGAAACTGAAGTACTTATTTCTGCATTGCTGGAGTTGGCAATTGTCAAATACAGAGGTTTGAGGGTTTCCATGGAGAAAAAACACATTTCAATCAGAATTCACATTATGCTCCATATTCCTGATTCATTTGCACTTCAATTACAAGGATAATAAAATGGGAAAACCCCACAAATCAATGGAGAGTTTCATAAGTGAAAAATAGGAGAAAAGGACAATGTGGAGAGAAGGAAACTAAAAACCTGTGTGTCTTGTCAGAAAAAGCTGTGCTGCAACGGACTGTGGCAAAGCCTTTGCTTTCATTACCAGAAACAGCTGCATAGACCAACCTTAAATAAGGTGTAACTTCCATTCTGGCAGAAGAATTCAGCAAAGAAACCTCACCATTTTGAAAGAAATCGGCGTTTCTTCTCCAAATGTCACTGAGCATTTCCCCAGAAATAAGGGAAAAGCACTGACCAAAGAGCTGAACAGATGTATTTTAGATTGATCAGCACTGATACCCCACAGTAAAACATGCCAATACCTCCTCAGTCAGTTCTGTATTTGAGATTTCATCTCCCCTGCCATGTGTATCATCTGTTCTGAGCTCCAGAAGATATTATAGCTATGGAAAACCATCCAGAGCTCCCAGAGGCAGCATGCAGTAAGTAAAACAATGATTCAACCCCAGTTTTTCCTCTTGAACATATACATCTAGATACAGGTCTGGAAAATTGGCAAAGGATACAAGGAGTGACAGACTTACATGTGTCCAAAATTAGGGACAGGATATACTTTCAAAGCCTCATTAAAAATACTTCTATGTTAGAACATTTCTTTGCTAATGTTATTGATGCAGCACAAAGAAATGCATTTTGGACCCACCACTCCTCAAAGGCACTGGAGTCCCAGTATAGCCAGTAAAAACAAATCCAAAGTCATGTCTTAGATTGTCCAGAACTTTCTTCTACAATATACCTAAATATAAGATCAGTAGGACATGAACTTACCCACTTGGCAGCAAACTCATTTTTGGAAGCTTTATTTCATGTAAGCCTGTTTCACACCCCAATATCTCAATCTTTCCCACAGGGGTAAGCAGAGCCATGTGTCTCTCCTTGCACCGAGATCCTCCCATTGTGGATTTCACCTGTTCATGAAAAGAAACTCCTCTTTAATTGCATGCATTTTCACCACGGCACATTCATCTTAAGGTATTTTGATTAGTTTTCAAAAGCAATGTTAAAAAGCACAAGAAACCAGCGTAGTTCCCTCAACCATGGCTCTGGCTTTCAAAATTCCAACTCAGAATGATTAGATAAAAGGAAAATAATTATTCAGTGAGGCGCTGGCACAGGGTGCCCAGAGAAGCTGTGGCTGCCCCATCCCTGGCAGTGCTCAAGGCCAGGTTGGACACAGGGGCTTGGAGCAAGCTGCTCTAGTGGAAGGGGTCCCTGCCTGTGGCAGGGGTTGGAGCTGGAGGAGCTTTAAGCTCCCTTCCAACACAAACCAGGCTGGGATCCTGTTATTTCCATGATCCAACCCAAGAAGTCCACATCCCCATGTTAACTAGAACAGTGACCTCCATGAAAATCTCAAATAGCAGCAAGTCCACGGCTGGTTTATCCGCTAACATCTGATGGTTTTGACACCAATTTCAAAAGGATTATTGTGACAAAGTATATTCACTGGTTTAGAGCAGCAGTGTTACGCAAATAAGGACGAGAACACAGAGTATGTCTGCTAGAAAAATATATGGGAAAAAAAAAACAATCATTCCTTAGTAAAAAAAATCCTTTATCCCCATTGTTACTAGTCTGGTTTTATGATTACTGATAGGATGTAGTTGGAAACAGATGCCAAGCATGTCTCAATATTGTGCAGGACAAACAATAACATGCTTGTCAAATTCAGCTTGGCTAAAAACCAGCGTGACTCTATGGACACTGAGCTGTATTTACAGCTTAGTGGGCACAATCATTAGGAGAGAACTAGGACAGGACACCACAGACACGTCCACTGTAGTCACCAAACCACAGGTTCAGACCCCACTGCATTAGTGCTGTACAGCCAGCACAAGAAAGACTTTGCTCCAATGAGCTAAATTCAATGAAAACGGGATGCAAGAAGCGAATAGAACAAAGAAACCCAGGAACTTTAAGGCAGCACAAGCTATCTCCACCCAATATCCCAGTTAAACAGACAGCCCAACAAGGTTTCTTGGGTTTTAAAGCCCTACTAACTTGCAGTTTGCCTCCCACCTGAAAAATTCCCTTGTTACTGCAATGTTCAGAACCAGACACCTCACCAACTTCCCCTTTATCTACCCAATTTCACAGTCCACTCTAAAGCCCCCCTCCCATGACAACTATGTATACCTGCATCAAGAGGAATGATGCTCAAAGCCCGATGAAGCATTGCATGAAATGCAGAAGAGATTAAGAAGCTGGGAAACTGATTGAAGAGCACAAGGACAGGCAAGGAGACAGGCAAAATCTCAATGACAACCTGCAGCTGACCACTGCTTGCAGCTGTACAACAATTTCATCTATTTCTCTTCAAAATAAGAGAATTTCTTTTTAAATCCTGTTATTAGTGCTATGCAGTGAAGTCGCATCTGAGGGTAATGGAATCAGTGTGAAGAGAGAAGAAAACCCAGTAGATAGTTTTGCCTACCAGGGCAAAAGTAAATTCAACTCTCTGAATTTTGGGAAGCATTAAAGCAATTCCTCAGTTAAGACACTCAGCAACCACTGTTAATCTGAAGTGTTCAAGGCCAGGTTGGACACAGGGGCTTGGAGCAAGCTGCTCTAGTGGAAGGTGTCCCTGCCCGTGGCAGGGGTTGGAACCAGATGAGCTTTAAGGTCCCATCCAACACAAACCAGGCTGGGATTCCATGGCAAGATCCCAGTGCGCTGGGACTGAAGAACTGCAGGTTCCCAGGGGTTTATTTAGCTTGACTGTAACTCAAAATCAGCTTTTCCTAAATAATCAAAGTGTTTGCTGGGGTTTTAAAAACTCTTCTTTTCAACCAACTTTGTTCCTTCTCCCTCCTCAAGGAGAGGAGATGGGTCAACTTTTCTTTGGAGCAGCACCTCACTGCACAAGCCTTAGCAAAAACAACACAGAAGTTTACATATGTGGAAAACCAGCATACATTCTTCATTCTTATTTGTGTGACAGCCCCAAACTAGATGCACTGAACCTCGTACCATGTGCTCCATGAATGTAACAGCTTAGTGCTAAAAGGACAGCTTTTTCATTATAACAAAACACAGGATGAAGAGAGGAACAGAAAACTATAAATAAGCCTGTAAGTTCCCACCAAGTTGAACTAAGCTTTATAGATGAAGCCTTGAGTGAGGGCAACTAGTGTTTTCAGTCTTGTTTAGCATATGCATTGGGCAGCAATATTTAAGGTTATTTTCAGATGAGAATGGAACTGCATGACATATATCCATATATATATGCAATTGGGTTGGGAGCCTCAAAGATGAAGGTCACCATACCAAAGTACAACACACGCTATCTCCCTTGCCCAGACACTGCCATGTCTTCTCACTATTCACCTGCAGCTACTGAGATGAGCCAGGTAAGATGAAGGTGACAATACACTCTGCAGGCAGTGCTGGTTTAAAGTAAGTGGAATTTTATTCAAGTTACAACAGTTTTCAGATGCAAACACCTTTATACTTGGTCAGCTGAATGACCTAATGCTTAGACAGCATTTACTGCAGACCAGGGGACACTGAAAACATGCCCACATCCAATATAGCCACAATTTGCTCACCACCAGAGTGCCCTTCTTAAACTTGTGAGAACTAAAAATGAATGGCAGCTTAAAGCAAAGAATGTAATAAAGGCAATAAACTGCCTTCTGCCTTTTTACCTCCAGCTTATACATATACATACATATACATGTATCATTTGAGCAATTTTCATCAGGCACTGCATGAATCAGATTTTGTGTTGGAAGGGATCTTCAAAGCTCATCTGCATCTCCAAGGCATCCTGCAATGAGCAGAGACATCTTCAGCTAGATCAGGTTGCCCAGAACCACATGCAGCCTGACCTTGAATATCTCCAAGGATGGTGCATCCACCACCTCTCTGTGCAACCTTTGCCAGTGTTTTACCACCCTCATTGTGAAGGATTTCCTCCTCACCTTCACCCTCCTTCTCCACTGAAATACCTATAAATCTGTGCCAAACTCTCTCGCGAGTTCAAACATAGGAAGAAAAAAAATGGGGTTTGGAAACTTCTATCTGGAGCCTGCTACAGAAACAGAAGTGAAGGTGCCCTGAATGGAAGTCTCTATCTCACTGCAATACTAAGCACTATAGAAATGACTATCGTTAGCCAACAGAACTAAGACCTTTTTGTCATTAATAACAGATGAGTATCAAAAGGTTTTCAAAGTAGAAGACATATCAGTAAGAATATTAGCATAATTGATGAGTTAATGTCCTGTACAGAGAAGCCTCGTTTTCCAGGCATGCTCCCACGACTGTCCATAGCACTTGCCTTGGTAGCACCATGCTCCTCCAAAAGGCGAAGGTCCCCTAGATTACACATCAACTGCACTGAACCCCACCAGGAAACACGGACGCTGCTCAAACTGCTTTCCAAGGGTTCAAACGCTAAGGATGTGAAACAACAGCAAGTTTTATCTCCTAAACGAGGTGCTATGAACCCAAAAGCCAGCATTAGCTTGATGACTTGCATCAAAGGATTTTCACCTCTTATGCTTTGCACTGTAACTCAATGTTAACAGCCCCGCTGCAGCCAAGGTTTTCAGCACTAAAACATACCTCCCACTTGATTCAATCCAGATCATGTTTAGATTTGCATGAATGGTCTTTGACATTACAGTAAATAATTCAACATTTTCCATGATCTACACAGAATCCCAGCCTGGTTTGGGTTGGAGGGCCCTTAAAGCTCCTCCAGCTCCAACCCCTGCCATGGCAGGGACCCCTTCCACTAGAGCAGCTTGCTCCAAGCCCCTGTGTCCAACCTGGCCTTGAATACTGCCAGGGATGGGGCAGCCACAGCTTCTCTGGGCACCCTGTGCCAGTGCCTCAAACCCCCAAAAATTCCATTGCAGTTTGGTCCGAGATCCTTGAATCCAATTCAGATCCTTAATGGGAACAGATAAATATAAAAAATTGCAAGTAAATCTCAAGGATCGACAAAGTTAACAAAAAAAATCCATAGCAAAGTGTTTCCACTCTTGATGTTCTCCCAGGAGAAAAAACTTTTTGAATAGGTTGCCCAGGGAGGTTGTGAATGCTCCATCCCTGGCAGTGTTCAAGACCAGGCTGGACGAGGCCTTGGGTGCCATGGTTTAGTGTGAGGTGTCCCTGCCCATGGCAGGGGGGTTGGAACTGGATGATCTTAAGGTCCTTTCCAACCCGAACTGTTCTATGATTCTATGTATTTTCCAGGACAAATCAAGAGGAAGCCTCCTGGCATTCCCTGCTCTTCAGCATCAAGCCCTTATTAGTGAATGGAAGGGGGCAAAGAATGAAAAATGCCATCATGAATACAGCTTCAAATTTTCCCTGTGTTCTCTTAAGGATTTCACACGTGGGCGTTGTTACAATCCCAGGAACCACAAATTTCCACTAGGAATATGCAACAGTGCTGCCCATGGATGTGTCTGCACCCATTCAGATACTCAGATACACCAGAAATTGTCTTAACACAAGTTCTGCCTGAAGGCTGTGGTCAAAGAGACTGAAGATGTCATCTTGTCACGTGGTTTCCCCTATTACTGAGCACATGAATCCTGCCCATCAGGAAGGAGCCACAGCCTTATCTCTGATGGATCTCCCTCTACAGGTTTTCCTATTTCCTTCACTCTGCTTTAGCAACAATACAAACCCACCCTGCCATATCAAAACCTTAATGATAATCCCCTCTGCCACCACCTGCATCTGATTTAACAGGCATTTCCATTAGGCTTTAGCATGTGGCTGAACTTCAAACGAAATCCTTCTGATTTCTACATGCATATTTCTGAGAATCAAGGCAAAAGTAACAAATTCAAGCACTAAACCTGAACTAACATGTCCTCACATACACTGCAACATCCCTTTTCAAACCAAGGGAGTCCAAGTGCATTAATCAGGGAGATGACATGTTTGC